CTTGAGCTCCGACTGAAATCCTTCCCGCATTCCCTACACTCATAGGGTCTCTTCCCAGTGTGGGTCTTCCGATGCTGCGTGAGGGCTGAGCTCTGGCGAAAGGCTTTCCCGCATTCCTGGCATTCGTAGGGCTTCTCCCCGGTGTGGATGATCTGATGTCTGAGAAGGTGTGAGCTCTGGCTGAAGGCCTTCCCACATTCACAGCACTCATAGGGCTTCTCCCCGGTGTGGATCACCAGGTGTCGGAGGAGGTGTGAACTCTGGCTGAAGGCCTTCCCACATTCCCGGCACGCATAGGGCTTTGTTGGTTGTGCAGTTCTGTGAGGTTCATGAGGTCCCAAGTCCCCCCTGCCCGCTTTCTCACAATCCTGTTTACTGGGTTCTTCTCCATCGTGGATTATCTGACACATACTAAGGTCTGATTTCTGGAGCAAGGTTTGGCCAAATATTTCGTCATCCTGGTCTCTGTTTACTAGTGAGATACTCTGATGCTGAACAGGGCTTGAGCACAGACTAAAATTCCCCTCATAATCATCGTGTTCCTCGTCTTGCTCCCCAAGAGGGATCTCCTTGTAGATAACAGCCATTTGCTCTAAACCCCTTTCCCGAAGAAAAGGGTCTGCCAGGTCCTCCTCTGGGAAAAGTTCCGGCTGCATCTCTAGCCCGTCCTCAAACACAAAGGTCTCACCAAGCTTGGCTGCTGGGGAAACCTCCATCGTGAATCTAGTATCAACCCCAACGACTGTATTTCCTGAAAGACGTTCTTCTTTGGGACACACGTACTGTTCTCACAATCTGAAAAGTAAAAGGGACATTGTCAGGCCAGCAAGTCAAGCACTTAGTGTGTGCCTCCTTCTATGGTGGGTATAACAAAATAAGTATAAGACACAGTCTTGCCCTGGAGATGATCCCCACTGAGTTAGAGATAAGTTTGATTTACCAGAAACAATTGCAAGGAAGACAGACACAATCGCCACACCGTGGTGTCTAGACTCTAAAGGCTGAGGGTGTTCAGAAAGGTGGGCTAGAACAGGAAGTGCAGCCACTGTGGAACACGGACAAGACTCAGCTACCAGAGGATGTCGGGGGCGAGGTTTTGTTCGAAGAGAGAGTGTGTGCACACATTCCCTCCTACACTAGGTTAGCTGCACTCTGTCCCGCCAGCCGGGTGCCCAAGCCAGAACCCTGGCATCCGCTACACCTCCTCACTCTCTCACTGCACATGGCTCGTCCTGTCCATTGCCTGAGGCTTTGTCGAAGGGGTTTCTGCCTCTCTGCCCTCGCTGCCATTCTGCAGCTCAGGCCTCAGGGTGACTCCCCAGGATTGTTTCAAGATTGGCCTCCCACCTCCAGCTTCTGCTCCTCCATCTGGTCTGTTCTCCACATTGACACCAGCGTCAAACACCCAAAACAAGTGCCTGATCGTATCATTTCCCTTCTTATTCTCCTGTGGCAGCCCAACTCCTTCACAAGGCCCTTCAGGCCTGGCCCTTCCAGCCCCGTCTCCAGCCTGGAGCTTCCACACACCCCTCACCTCCCAGCTCAACAACTCATCTGTACTGCTGTTTCCTCCTCCTACCAGGTCCTCCCCCATTCTCAGACAGCCACTGGCTCTTCCTGCCAGCCTCGGTCAAATGTCCTCTCTTCTCTGCACCCTCAGACTGACGACGTCAGGCATGCCCCCTTAGTGACCAGAGGCCATCACAGCACTCACCGCCTGGATGGCAAACATCACTGAGGGGACTCTCCCCACCACTGCCCGAGAACTCCCTCCTGCCCTCCATTGTGGAATCTCTGGCCCCCAGCACAACGGCACAGTCTCCACACACACATTTGATGAAAAAATAAACGACTGGATGAAGGAAAAGCTGTTTGTTTTTGTGCTAGAACTGACTGATACTTTTTTTTTTTTGCCAAAGAACTCTTTATTCAAATAAATCAATTGTCTGGGAGACAGAAATAAGTAAAACAGACAAAAGGAGAGCTGCTCCAGTTGAAGGGGGGAGTAAAGGAAGGCAGCCAGAAGTCCCCACTCAGGCCCCCATCCCACTATGGTGGCCTCTGAGGGAGCCCTCAGAACCCCATTCAGAAACTACTGTGGAAGCTAAAGGGACACATCTCAGGTACCACAATAATTAACAACAGCTCGTGTTAACTGAGCACCTACTGTGTGCTGGCATACTAGACCTTTTACGAGCATAATGAGCTCATAAATGAGCATACCTCATTTAATCCTCACAAGTCTATACAAAGTCTATACGACACTGAAACTTAGAGAATAACTGGCTCAAACAGCATACTAAATTAATCAGAATACTCACGATGAAGCTCATTCCTATTTGGAAATTATTTTTTTCAATGAATTTCCAGCCAGTGGAAAGGCCAGCTGTGCAAAAAGTACAGAACTAAAGTATTCTCAAAAGTTCTTTGATCACTTCAACTCGTCCTCTCTCCCCTCTTCTGCAACCATAATCTCCAGTCTGTCCAGTTCTCACGGGCCCTCACCAAGTCTAACAACCCCCTATGCGGGCCCGTTCTCCTCCTCTCGTCCCAGCCCTTCCCCGTCTAGCTTAGACCTTCTCTATCTATGGTGGGTCTAACTACGGAGTCACTATCTCTCTGCCCCCCGTCACCATCCTCACTCCTTCCCTGCTGCAAACAGCTGCCAAGGACCAACCTTCTCTGCCATCCCTCCTAGGACGTGAAATGTTGCCAAGGAAAATCATATGACTGTGTATGGCACCGAGACAAATTTCAAGTTTCCAGTTTCAGTGGGACTTCGGTGGGCACTCAACTCCAGCATGCAACGACCTTCTTCTTGCCAAGCCCTGTCTCCTCGGTGCGCTCCTTCCCATCCCTCTGGCACTGCTCACCAGTACCTCCCTCCCAAAACCCTTCATTTCAGAGACTGCAAATTGGCAGCCTGGGGATCCTGCCACAGACTCGTTTTGCTTGGCTCTCAAAGAGCTGGACTTTTCCTTTTTGTTTGCCTTAGCTGCCAATATTGAAAACTCGGCAGATTTCTGACTTTCTCTTGAAAAACTGAAAAAGGCCCTCCTTCACTAAACCCACCTTGCCAACCTGGACGCCCCAGGGTTTCCATCTTGCCGGCCCGCATGCCCGCACCCCGCTTCATTCCCTTGGTTTCTGAAGCTCTTTTTCCCCCCAATTTTCACGCCTTCTGATTCCTCTTTCTTGGTGTCCGTGGACTGCAACTGCGCAGCCCACCTTTCAGTCCTGGTGCTTCCGAGGTTGCCTCCCCAAGGGTCTCTCCCTTCCCACTGTGTGCCCCCTACACGCTGAAGTCCCCACTTTTTTTTAAAAGTTGGGGCACTCCTTTATCTGTCCCCAACAACGTTTTAAATATTTCGGACCGAAAATTCAAAGGTCTGGAAACCCATGCTTCCCACCTCTCTCGGGGCCTTCCCCGGGCTCCTCCTGCATCCGTCACCCCATCCTCCGGGGAGCCCCAGGGCCTGGACCCCGGGCAGCCCCGTCTGGTCACGGCTCCCTGGCTGGAGGCCGGCGAGCGGCCGCGGACCCGCACACGCCGCCTGGGTGGCGACGCCGGCGCCCCCGCATGCTGCCCTCGGCCGGAGGACAGGCGGCAGGCTGCGGACGCGGAGCCACTCACCTGGCCAGGCGGGGCCGCTCACCTGCGCCGGGGGGGCGGGGCCGCGGGCGGGGGGCGGGGCGGGCCGCACCTGTGCTGCTCCCACCCGCGGCCGGCGCGGCCTCGCTCCGGCGGCTGCTGACGCGGAGCCCGTGGCGGCCCCAGGGCCCCGCGCCCCGCCCCCCGCCGCGGGCACTTCCGGGACCGCTCTAGGCCGCGCGGAGGGCCCGCGTCTCGGTGGCCCGCCGCGCCAGGCCCTGTCTCCTGCGGCCCCCGGCTCGGGGAAGGAAGGACGCGGGTCTGGAGGGTCTCTCCAGTCGGCGCAGTGGCTCTGGGCTGTCCGCAAAGCGCGGCACGGCTGTGGGGAAAACTGGGCGGGGCAGGCGTTGGCAGGAGTGCCGAGGAGGAAACTGAGGCCCGGAGGGGTGGCCGGCCGAGAGCCGCAGGCTGGCGTCCAGTTCCCGCTGCACTTGCCCTGGGGGTGGCGCAAGCCCGAGGCCGCTGGGGCCTCTGGGGTCTTCAGGAGAGGGGGCTCCCAGAGCTGAGGAGCCCAGCACCCCGCACAGGCCCAGGGTCCTGTTAGGGTTCACCCTCCCTTCCCAGGTGGCCCTGGCCCGGCCTGCGCACCCCGCCCCCACAGACTGAGATGAGAGGAGGGGCCGCTTAGGGCCCTGGAGATGGCTTAGAGTGTAGGCGGGACTCCCAGCGCATCTGGGGGATGACCTCCAGACAGGAGACTCCTCTAGGGGAACCGGCGGGGAAGAGGGGTGTGTTCTTGAACCCCCCACCTCACTCCCGGGCGCTCAGCTCTGCTTTTGATGGCAAGACTTGCCCCTCCACCCGTGCTGCTCCCGCCTTGGTCCGCTGGTGCTCAGGTGGTGCCTGCCCCGCCTGTGGGAGAGCCTCCCCCGGGGGCCACAGCCCTATCGCATGGGACCAAGAGAACGCACGTTCCTGAGCGGAGGGATGCTGTCCACTACGCCCCTGCCATCGGCACCCTGCACCCTGGCCCTCAGGTGCCTCTGAGTGCCCCTCACACACCCACACACACACGCACACTTGCCTCCCTTCCCCGTCAAGGAGTAGGCTGGGGCTGCCTCCGCCCAAGGCAGCAGCCTGGGCTCCACAAGGACCCAGTCCAGTCCCGCCGTGAGCGTTGGACCACAGCCAACCGTGCAGAACTGGGAGGGCAAGAGCTGGTTCCTTTTTCTCTCCCTCCAGCTCCTCCGTCCCCGGAGTCTCAGCCCCCTGGGAGCCAGTGGCAAGGTTGGGCCCCGCCCCAAGGGTCTCAGGTGCTTCCTCTTCTGCAGTAATCCCCAGCATCCCTGCCCCCACAGCCCCAGACCCACCACAGTCACTTTTTCAGCAGGGATCTCACAGCCCTCCAAACAGTTATTGTTGGCATGTTGAATATTATTAACCCATTTTACAGAGGAGGAAGATCAAGGCTCAAAGAAAGAGAGGGGCCCAAGGTCAGGGGCAGAAGTGAGAGGCAGACAGAAGGCGCTCATCCCACACCCTGCCCCTAGAAGTAGCCCACGGAGCAGTAATAATCTGCGTCGTCCTCGGGCTGCACAGGGCTGATGGTCAGGATGCAGACGTTGTGGGCTGCGTCGGCGGCTGCTGAGAAGCGGTCAGGGATGTCAGGGGATCGGTGGTGGTCCTTTTCTGAGCGGTAGTAGAGGAGGTAGCGAGGGGCGCTGCCTGCCCGCTGCTGGTACCAAGACACTCCGTAGTCCCCAATGGGGTGGCGGGGGTTGATTGTGCAGGAGAGTTGAGCCACTTGGCCTGGGAAGACCATCAGTGATTCCCGGTGGGCCAGGGCTGGCTGGGAACCTGAGAGAGACAGACCTGCTCGGGCCTGGCCTGGCCCCTTCCCTCCTACCCCTGCTCCGTGAAGCCTTCGTCAGACTCCAAGGAGACTCTGGCTCCCAAAGCATTCATAGCTCCATGCAATGGGATCAGCATTGGATGGGGTGCAGAGTTGGCGACCTCTATGTCCCCATTAGTGCCACATCCCCAAGGATCTGTGTTCAGTTGAGGGCCTAGAGTTCAGAGGGTGGGACTGGGCACCTCTAGGTCCTTCTGCTGCCCACTCCCACCCCTTGCCCTGCAGAGTCACACTGGCTTTTCCAAACCCTGGCTACAGGCTAACCACCCCCAGGAAGCCTCCCATCCTCTCAACCGCAGGTAACTGGCTGCTGGGGACCTTCTCAGGATTAGATTGTCCCTGCGGTCCTGTGGGGTAGGTATCAGCCCACACCAGCTTCCCTGTGAAAAACTAAGAAGGTGACCAGCTTTGGTCTCCTCTGAGACCCAAAGAGTCAGAGTCTGAAGGGACCCTAGTGATCTGATCACTCACAAATGGGGAAACTGAAACCCACACAGAGAGGCTTGCCCCAGGTCTAGGGCAGAGTCACATGTAACCAGTTCTCCCCTCCACCTCGATGCCCCTTCCAGAACCCTCCCCTTGCCCACATCAGTTTGCTTCCTTCAGGGGCCTTCTGGAGCCAGCATTGTGCCCCACCCCACCCCAAGGTGAGCCAGGCCCAGGGAGGGCTCACCTGCTAGGAGGACCCCAGTCAGAAAGAGGGCCAGCCGCCAGCGGGCCATGGCCAGAGGCAGGGAGGCAGGCAGAAGTCGTTCTGCTGGGTGTGCTGCAGGTGCTTCAGGGCACAGGCAGGGGAGGCCGCCCACGACGGGACATGCAAATCAGCCCGCACAGGCCTTAGAGCAGGCGGCTGCTCCTCCACTGCAGTCTAACTCACGAGCAGTGAAGCCACAAGACTTGCGTCTGGCTTGACGATTTTATATATATGTATATGTGTATATATATATATACACACACACACCCCTGCAACCTCTACCCAGACCAAGATTTAGAACCTTTCCATCTGCCCAGAAGGCTTCCTCATGCGCCTCCTGCATCAGTAGCAGCCTTTCCTCCCCCATGGGTAACCATCATTCTGACTTTGATTACTTAGATCAGTTTGCTTGCTCCCGAATGGCAACTTTAAACGGAGTGTTAATGTGTCCTCTTTTGTTCCTGCTTCTTTTGTTCAACATTATGAGTCACCCATGTGTGCGCAGCAATGTTTCATTCATTCTCATAGCTGTGTGTAATCCACTGTGTGGATAAACCACAGTTAGATTATCCATCTCCTGTTATTAGACATTTGGGTGCCTTCCAGTCTTGGGCCATTACAAATAAAACTGCTGTGAACAATCTCGTTAGTGTCTTTGGTGCACCTGTGTGCTCATTTCTGCTGCACAGACACCCAGGCCTGGAGTTGCCAGGGGCTACGGCACGTGTCCAGTTAGCTTTAGTAGATACTGCTGGTGTTCCCAACACGGGTGTGCCACCCTGCCTCCCCATGCAGGTAAGAGAGTTCCAGAGACATCCTCGCCAGCACTTGACGTGGTCAGTTCCTTTAATTTGCCAGATGGAGGGGAGCTGAATTCAGTCAGGATTCAACCCAAATTGGGATTCCAACTTGAATCCCAACTCCTCCTCTTCTTAACTGCATGACTTCAGCCAAGTTACTTCCCCTCTCTGTGCCTCAGTTTCCTCATCTGGAAAACGAAGATGAGCATAGTGCCAGCCTGAGGGTGTGAAGATGCAAAGATAGGACTGATTTGCTCAGTGTTGGGCACAGTGCATGTATTAATCGTGCTTTTATTTTCTGTGGTCTGCAGCTTTGACATCTGGGGCCTTGCTGATCCTGGAGGACCGACCCTCCCATGGCTAGCCAGCTCCTGGAGACAGTAAATGACTTGCCTGAGAGCACACTTTTCAAATGCACACCAGCCAATCCAGAGCCCATGCCCGACCACCTCCTCCCTCACTTTCCACTGTCTGCCTGTGCTCATCACCCAGGGCCAGGTACCAGACAGCTGGGGAGCCCCTAGGCCCCAGAGCCCTGACGTCATTCAAACTAACCCATCCTGAGCCTGCTTCCCCTGCCTTGCCTGTTCCTTGTCTCAGAAACCACAATAAAGGCTCTTGTCCACAGGTCCCCTCTCCCTCTGCCTCCTGACCCCCGCCCCATGCTGCCCCGTGTGGTCCCGCTGTGGCACATCACAGGGATCCTCTTGGGATCTGTGGGGAACAAACTATTTTCTCAATGGCAATTGTCTCCTGATCTGTTGGCCTTACCATACCTAGATAATCATAAAACTATTAAAACCGCGCACTGTCATTATCTGCAGCCCTGAGAGTGCCCCACAGGAAGGTTATAACACCCCCCAGTAAGTCCCACTCCATTCCTAACACCTCCTTAGGGCATCTGCACAGCACTCAAGAGGAAAGACCCCTCCTTGGTGGCTCTTGAGACGAGTCCCTTAGACAGCAGAGTGACAGTTGTTGGAGGCTCCAGGCCCTGAGTGGCCATTCTTCTGGAATCCGGCTGCACTCCACTCCTGAGCTGTGTTCTGCAGGATACAGTGGACACAGTGGTGTTCAAGAAAGACAGGGCCCTGTGTGCCCATCAACTTGGGAAGTGCTGCCTGTTCCCACAGTGCGGATTCTGAGCACATGCTGCCTGCTGAGCATCAAGGTAACCCTTTAAAGAGTGACCTGTTTAACCTTCTCACCAACTCTGCTGAGTCGAGGTGTCTCACCTCCTTTTACCAGGTGAGGCACTGAGGAAAGTGCTTCTCCAGAGGCAGAGTGGGGCGCTGGCAAGCTGCGTGGAGGATCCAGGCCTCCCCCTCCTCCAGAGCTGTGCCTGCAGAGGGAGGAGGGCGGAACCAACAGCCTCATCGCTGGTTGAGGCTCGTGGAGGGGGCAGGAGACAGAACCAGAGACACAGAGACAGAGGGGAGGCAGTAGAGGGAAGGAAAGAGATAGGATGATGGAGAGAGAGAGGGAGAGAAAAAAGTCAAAGAAAGGATGGACACATGGAGAGGCAGAGAAATGGGTTAATGTGAGAACTAGAGACAGAAAGAGAACAAGGGAGAGACGGTGGGGAAGGAGGAGGGAGAGAAGGAGAGACAGACAAATGTGAGACAGGGAAAGATGGTGAGAGACAGGAGGACGACAGAGGGAGAGCCAGTGAGAGGGAAAGCTAAGAATCCAGGAGGCCCAGCCACAACCAGACAGAAAGAGGGGCCATGCAAAACGATGCAGGCACGCTGGAAAACATAGGCAGTTTCTTATCAAGTAAAACCTACACTCTGACGGTATGTACCTCAGAGAAATGAGAACTTCTATTCCCACAAAAACCTGTAGGCAGCTGTCTATCTTGGCTTTATTCATAATTGTCCCAAACTGGAAACAACCCAGAATAAAAGCAGATGAATGGATCAACAAAGTTGGTTCATCCAGACAAGGGGGCTCTCCTCAGCCATCAGAAGGAGGGGACTCTTGATAAGCAGGGCCACCCAGGGGAATCTCAATCATTACGCTGAGTGAGGGAAGCCAAACTGAAAAGGCCCGTGCTGTATGACTCCCTTCATAGGACATTCTGGAAAAGGCAGGGGCAGGGCACAAAGCAGCAATTGCTAGGGCTGGGGTCAACTACCAAAGGGTGCAAAGGGATTTTGGGGGGTGACGGAAATGTTCTGCATCCCAACTCTGGTGGTGGTTCTATGAGACGTGTCAAAACTCGAAAACACTAAAAAGGGTGAATTTTACTGTATGTAAATCATAGCTCAATAAACTTGACCAAAAAAGGAAAGAAAGAATGGAGCCAGCCCCGTGGTGTAGTGGTTAACTTTGCACGTTCCGCTTTGACAGCCCTGGGTTCGCAGGTACGGATCCTGGGCACGGATCTAGCACCGCTCATCAAGCCATGCTGTGGCAGCATCCCCCATACAAAATAGAGGAAGATTGGCACAGATGTTAACTCAGGGCCAGTCTTCCTCACAAAAAAAAAAGGGCAGAAGAAAAGAGAGGGGAGGTGAGACTGAGGAGGAGGCAGAGGGAGGGGACAGAAAGGAAGCACAGGGGGGGGGGGGGGGGGGGGGCTTGAGGTGGGAGGGAGCCTTCTAGGTTGGTGAGGATGCCCTGCTTGGCAAGGGCCACAGTGCTGCCAGCTCATGCAGGAGGTTTCCCAAGGGCCAGCGCCCCACCCCCAGAAACTCCCCCTCTCTCAGCCTGGAAACGCTGTCTCTACTGGTGGGGAGGTACAGTCTCTGGACATCCCTGGGTCCCAAGGGTCGAGCCCCCACTATGGCTCTGCCTCAGGGAATGCCCACACCCCTCCCCCCAGCCCAGATCCTGTTACTGGGATACTGGGGAGAAGGCATTTCCTGCCCAGACGTCTTGGCAGCTGCCACTGCCATGGAGACCAGCTTGGAAGCTGGGACGACCTCAGTCTCTCTGGCTGCTCTGAGCCAGTGATCAGGAGGAAGAGGCCAGGGGCTGGACTAGCTGCAGGGACCCCCCCCCCACCCCAGGCTGGTAGAGCCAAGCCCCAAGGGTGGGGGAGCAGGGACCTTCACCTGGGCCCGCCCACCCATATATATCTCTCTCGGCAGGACCCCACCCTGGAATAGATCTCAGCCCCAGCTCCCTCCTTGGTCAGAAGTCGGAGGTTGGGGCGTCAAAGGCCACACCTATCTCATCTCCTCTGCAGACATGTTTATCACCGTGATGTTTGGAGGTAAGCGGGGTCCCCTGTCCCTGCAGATGTGTGGGGGGACGGTATACTCAGAGGCTTGCTTCCCTCTGCCCTGGGGGAGGGTGGGGAGGCAATGTGGGGAACGGGGTGCATCTGGGGAAGGGGATGGGGGATTTGGGGGCAGGGCTCTGTGAGGAGGCAGAGTGAGTGCCTGGAGTGAGTTCTTTGAGGGGAAAACCTGTCCTGGAAATTCAAGAAGGCTCCTCTCGAGCAGCTCCTGCCACGCCCCAATGGCGCATGTTTTTAAACTGCACCATATCTTTGCTGTTCAGTCAGTGGTCCTCAAGCTTCAGGGAGCATGAGGCACTTGAAACTCTAGCCACAGCTGGAGATTCCACCTTTCTGGTCGGAGGCAGGACTGGAGTAGGAGGGGGGTCAGGGCAGGTGCAGGTGGCATGGGTTGTGCGCCCCAGTCACCAACATCTCAGGAAATGGGTGTAGGGGTACAGCCCTAGTCCCATAGACCCATTCCCTGCTCTGCTTAGGGAAGAGATGGGAGAGGCAGAGGGCCCCATTCACTCACCTCTGCCCCTCCCCCACAGCTGGCTGCCGGGAGCTGGTGAACCCCTGGTGCAGCCTGGTGACTCTCACGGCCCACCTGAGGCAGAGAGCGCAGGTGCCCCCAGGCAGTGAGTGGGAAGGGAGGGGTGATGGGGAGGAGGGCCAAGGGCCCCCAGGCAGGGGTACCAGCCCTGCCCTGCCTCCCTCCCAGCGACCATCGCCCTCCTGGCTGAGGATGGGCATCTGGTGAGCCTGGTCGAGGGTCTGGAGGAGGGGGCTTCCCCAGCCCCCTCCATGGGCAGCCCCCTGCTGCAGGAGCGTGCGACCTATGTCCTTGTGCAGAGCATCAGTAAGTGGGGCCCAAGACTCTCCCTTGTAGTTATGCTGGAAGGTAAGAGGCGGGCAGCAGTCCAGAGACTGCCCAAGGCTCTGCTCAGCCCCCCACTTTGCCCGGGACCTAGCCCTGACTCTTCCCATCCAATGCGCTGTCCTGACACCAGCCTGGGCAGCAAACAGGGTCAGAGTGAAAGGTGGGGGTGGGGCCCACCAGGCCGGTGAGCCATTCTTCCTCCCTCCAGAGGGTGAGGGCGGGGCTCCCACTCGCTATGAGTCCCTACTGGAGAAGCTGGATGACTGGTGTCCAGAGCTGGCAGGTGAGTGTCATGGTAGAGCCTGGGGTGGGGGGGGGGGGGGACACACCTTCTCCCCAGCCTGGACAGGCAGGGCTTCCTGGGCCTTGCAGAGGAGCTGCGCTGGCTGTCGGGCCTACCCGCCATGGGCGATGGCCGGAGGAGGCGCATGGGCACTCGGCATGGCCACCAGGAGCAAGGCCCTCCTTCAAGGCCCCGAAGGGTGGGCTCCCTGCCACCCAGGACCCGATAGTGGGGGCCAGGAGCCAGGTAAGGAGGAGACATGGACATCTTGGGGGATACTCGCATCCAGAAGTGGGGCCCCTTCCCAGGGGATAGACATGTGCTGAGAGGTGGACCCCCAATGCCAAGCCCCGACTCTGCACACCCCCCCCCCCCCCCCCCCCCCCCGCCACAAGGTGGAACACATTGTCCCAGGAGACAGGCCCTCACTACAACTGGAGTGTAAGTAGTGCCCAAGGGCAGGAACACCCTCAGTGCCCAGGAGAGCTGGAACAGGGCCTGACACATGATAGGCACTCAACGCAGAGCTGTTGACAACTCAATGAAGGCAGCAGCACACAGTGTGATGGCGAGGTCCGCTCGGGGTTTGAAGGAGCTGCTCCTGTTCCAGCAGGCCCTGTGACCGGGCACACCACAGCCAAGTGGCGGAGCCGGACCCAGATCCAAGGGGGCTGCCTGTGGCCTCTGCCTTGTGTGATCAGAACCAGCCAGCCGGGGGCCCAGCAGCATTCCTCTTGCAGTATCTGATAAGCTCTATCAGCAAGAGGGACAAGGTCAGACAGAGGTCACTGACAGACAGAAGGCCATGGGGTGCCCCTAGGATGTGGGTGCACAGAAAGGGACCCAGAGGCAGCGACAAGAAGGGTGGAGGGGGCAGGCGCCCCTGAGACAAGGAGATAAGATCCTCCAGGGATTCCAGCCCCCAGAGTGGGACGACCTTGGGGTCACCCACTAAGCCTCGCCACCTCCCTTTGGACTGCCAGAGGCTGTCGGCTTACAGCAGGCTCCTCCCTCCCCACCCAGGATGCCAGCCTAAGGTGAAGCAGCAGTCCACCCTGCAGTGTGACATCCATCCTCCCCCCCAAGCTTGTCAGCCAGGGTGCTCCTGGCAGACAGGCCAGTGAGAGGACACACAGCAGGCTCTGGTCTAAAATAAACTCTTTTAATTGCACATTTGTGTCTCGGGTCATTGGTGGGGTGAGAAACCCCCTCTGCACCCCCAGTCCCAGCTACATGGGTACAATCTGACGCAGTGGTCTGGCTGTCGGTGAAAGGGTGGAGGTGGCGCAGGGTTACCCGCGGATCTGCACCAGTCTGCACTGGTCTCTTCAGGGCAGGGAGCTCAGACCTGCGGAGGGAGAGTGGCACAGGTCCCTGGTCAGCCCAAAAGTGCTGGAAGACGGACTGCCTGTAACCGACCTCCCCCTGCCCCAGCCCCAGCTCAGGGGCAGCTCGCTCACCGTGGTTGTACTTGCACTGCTTCAGGGCCTCGCTGAAGCCCTCACACAGGGACAGGTCACTCTGAGTGGTGGAGCAGTCCAGGAACTGCCTGATCTCGTAGGCACAGGGTCCCATCTGCAGGGGCTGGGGGGCAGTGCGAGCTGGGGCCTGGGGTACCGTGCAGGAGGCAGCAAGGTCAGCTTGGGGTTGGCACCCAGAGGTGGATTCCAAAGCTGGGGGCCGGGTGCCCCTCCCCACATCCCCAGCCTGGCTGCCCCAAGGGTTCCAGGCAGGATGAGTGACCCAGGGCCAGCCCACCCAGCTGCTCCATCTGTGAAACAAGGTAAGCCCACAGCCCCCTCAGAGCCACTCAGCTGATGCTGGTGCCGGTGTAGATAGCAATTCCCTGTTGCTTCATAATGGGCACGTTGGGCAGGTGAGGGAGTGGGAGAAACACCTAGAAAAGCCCAGCGCTCTGCTTGTCCTCTTGGAGTATAAGCCCCATTCCCACAAGTTCTGGCACCTTCCTGTCTCAGCCACACTGATCCTCATAAGTCCTGACCCGCTAAGCCCGCATTTGGCTCAGGATGGGTGGGGTGCCAGTGGGGGACAGGCCAGCAGGGAACAGGTCTCAGAGTCAAACGCTACCCTGTGCCTTTGGGTCAAGAGACTACAGTGCCTGCCCTGGAGTGAGAAAAGTGGAGACTCAGGAACTTCTACATCCCTCCCCTCTATTAGGGTTAGGTGACCTTGGGCCAGTCTCTGAGCCCCTAAGGGTCTGGGTTTTCCCATCTCTAAAGGGCTGGTGGTGTCTGTCCCTGGGAGTCTAGGGACCTTGGCCTCAGTGGGGGGGAGGGGCTGGAAGAGCCTGCCTGTGAGTGACAGGAGGCCCACAGCAACGTGAAGAAGAGGATCTCTTTGGGCAAAGTCCTGGGCCTGAGGCAGCTCCGGACACGCCTGGACACTCCTCGCGGGACAGTCCAGCAGCTCTCTGCTATGTGGCCTTGAGAGCCGCGTGCCTCAGTTTCTCCCGAGCCCGTTGCCCACCTGCTGAGCTGCAGGCTGGGCGGGCTCTGAGCTGCCCCCGCTGAAGGCTCCGGTCAGGGCGCTGCCGACGACGTGTCCCACAGCTGAGCCCACTGCTACTCCGGCGGCCGTGGACGCCATCTGCGCCATCAGACCCGGCTGGCCCGACGCCGCGGGGGCCGTGGCAGCGGCCGAGGGCGGCGGGTGCGCGGGCGGGTGGGCAGTGGGCGCGGCGGTGCGGCTGCAGGGTTGGGGGAAGCAGCGTTAATCCCGGCCCGACCCCAGGCCAGGAACCCCAGGGGCCTGCAGCCCCTGGAAATGCGCCCCTCTCCTCCTCCCGGAGGGATGGGCGACCCCGTTTTAGACACGTGTTGCGCCGCCCGCGCCCCTCCCCCCCAAGATGGCGCAGTAGTCGCCAAGGTCACGCTAATGCGCCCTTGGGGGAGTGCCCGTGAGTCCCGAGCCCCCTCCCCACGGGGCCCCTGTCCCGCTCACACCTGGCTGTCCGGGCACCCGCGCTGCGGCTCCCCCGGGGCATGGTGGCGGCGGTGGGACCCGGCTCAGCACAGTCAGAGGCGGCGACGGTGGCAGCGGTTCTGTCTCAGGGACGAACGCGGCAGCGCTAGTCCCAGCAGCCGCGAAGAGGCGGGGCCCCGGGGACACGCCCCCAGCGGGAGGTGCCAGGAGTGTAGCCGCTCCTCCCTCCCGCGGGTACCCCGGACTCCTCCTTGCCAGCATCCCCTCGACACTGCGCCTCCCCTGGGACTGGATCGAGCAGTGTGGGCCCTGGGGACACGCGCCAGAGTCACAGAGCGCCGAGGGCTTACTCAGGGGCGACGGGCCAGGGCCTTCAGAGACCCCCGCGGAGCGCAAGGAGTGGGGCTGGTGCTGTCAGAGCTCCAGGGCAGAGGAGACGGGTGGCGAAGGGTTGAGGCCAGCCAGAGTGGGGCACGAGGCGCCAGGCCAGGCTGTGCTCCTCCCCCTCCTATCAGACGGGGTTTGCAGATTTCGGCGTGGTCTCAGGGTCGCGGGGTGTGCGGGGGACTAAAGCGGGGAAGAGACCTCTGGGGGAGATCTAGCGCGACCCGTCCCCAGGACTCTCGCCAGGGTGCGTCCGGAGCTTCTCTTCGACTCCACCCCGGCCAAAACGCGGGGCAGGCGCGGGCTGCCCCCGCCCAGAGTGCGATGAGGCCCCCATGCGGCCCTGCACTCCCCCTGAGCCCCCTGCCCCACGGATGCAGCGTCGGACGCTGACAGCGTTTATGCGACATTCAAGCAGCGCGTCCGTCCCAAAGGCCTGACCTGAATGCATGGAGGCGCACGGGCAGGTTTGAATCCTGTGGCCTCGCGATTTTACCGCCTTGTTCCGGGCCAAGGGGAGGGTGGAGGCGCGGGATGAGGACGCTTCCCAGCCCTTCAGGAACTCGAGGTTTTTATATCTTTCCTGAATGACTGCGCAGTGGTCATACTATTACCCGTGAGGAGGAGGGGCCCTGACTTCCCTCCCCTCCCCTGTCACTGTGCAGTGTGCCCTGGGGGGACCTCGTGGCACCGAGATTGTGGGGAGGATGAAATCACCCACAGCAGAGCATAGGGAGGTGGTCCCAAGTGGGGAGAGGTGCCCCTCGGTGAGGAGGAAGGAGGGAGGGAAAGGAAAGAAGGGGTGGGGCAAGCGGCACGGCCTGGCACGCTCCGTTATGTGTCTGCCGTGCCCTTATGGGCCACACGTACCTGCAAGCCATGTGCACCTCTGTATTCTTACCACACAATCCTCTCAGCTGGCCTGTGAAGCAGGACCCTCCCCTGACCCCCGGCTGGGCCTGGGTCTCAGTTTTCTCCTCTCTGAAGTGGGGGTGACCACCCAGCTCTAGGTGAGGTGAACATGTGAAGCGGGGGCGTTCTCTCCTCTCAGACGTGCCAGGCCTGGTCCAGCGTCTACTCCTTTGCTGGGGAAGTCCCTGCCCACCTGGTTCCCGTTTGCCAAATTGGTCCACCCTTCTAGTCTTATCAGGGTCCTCCTGCAGGAAGACCTCTGTGGCCAGCCCCCTTGCTGGGAGCATGGTTGGCCCGTAACCATGACCACCCACCCCGGGCCTGCACTGTGGGTGGTTGTGCCTCAGCACCCATAACTGTTGGACTGCAGGTTCCCCAAAGTACAGCCACGCACCGCTGGACATAGCCAAGAGCATTTAAGATAGTTACACCAATAAATGTTTTTATTTAAATAATTATGTGTTTTCAAGTATATCAGAAAAAAAGTCTATAATTAGCTCATCAAATCCATAATTTCTTGACCAATATTGCTAAGAATGAAGTAGGCATTTCAATTTTTAAAAGTGAATCACTTTGAAGAAAAAGATTGCTCACAGACCAAGTAGTGAAAGTCACTGTTGTCTTTCCTCTCCTCCCCTCTAGGGGTCTCTGTGGAGCCTTCCCGGAGAAGCCCTGAAAGCTCCTGGACTGGGACCAGAGGCAGGGTTGACAGCCTGATGGCCCTCACTTCCCTCCCAGCCACCCTCCCTTCTTAGGCCCAGGCCGGTGCCCACAGCCTCACCTTGCAGCAGCTCAGGACTCTGTCTGCCAGGATGGGAGCTGCTGCCTGGATTTTGGCTCTGCAGGGTGGCCCGGATGGAGCCAACTGCCTGGTGAGGCAGTGAGGCCCGGCCAACCCAGGGAGTGTGTACCAGTAGCAGACCCCTTTCAGCATGGGGACACCCCCTCCTTTGATGCTCACCTCTTCTCCCTCGGCTCTCAGGTGGCTGGCCCTGAGGGGCCCCGAGGAGAATGTTAGTCCCTGACCAATGGACTCCCTGGGACCCCAGCGCCCCCCTCAGACACCACCCCGCTGCGCCCCTCTGACAGCACCCTCCCTCTGACTGACCCACTGGAGGGCCTCCTGGTCCCTCTGCTTGCCTGTTGGTATGGAAAGCCTTCTCCGGCCCCTCCTTCTTGGGGCCTGTTTTCCCATCTATAAATTATTGTTCTGTTCAAGCTAGGGGGCTGGCCAGCCTTCTCCTTACGCCACAGTTTCCCTTTCCTCACAGGGGCTGTTCTGCCACCTTCCAGATGAATCAGCTGAGGCTCTAAGGGCTGGGGGAACTTGGTCAAGGGGAGGACCACCTGTCATAGGCTAGCAGGATATCAGAGGTCAGGCCACCAGGGAGCCGAGCCCAGGATGCTCCTTCCAAGGGTGGGGGTAGGGACCGAGAGGAGTGAAACCCAACTCCTCTCAGACTCTCCACCGCACGGTGGGGAAACTGAGGCCCAGAGTAGCACCAGCTGGCCAGGGCCACCCAGCAGCAGGCCCCCGAGGTGACAGGCTCGGCCCCACCCAGGGAAGGACTGGGACCCGGGCCCCAGCCGCCGCCGGGCCAGCCCCTCCCCGTCCACCTCCCCCACCCCGGCGGCCGCCGCCGCCGCCGCCGCCGCGGGGAGAGTGTAGAACAAAAGGCGCGGGGGCGGGGCCGGGCCGGGCGGGGCGGAGGCTATAAGGGGCGGCGGCCGGCGCGGCCCAGCAGGCCCAGCAGCCCCGGGGCGGATGGCTCGGCCCGCCGGGCTCTGCCGCGCGGCCCCGCGCGCTCTCCTGCTCCTGCTGCTGCTGCTGCTGCTGCTCCCGCCGCTGCTGCTGGCCCGGGCCCCCCGGCCACCGGTGAGTGCCCGCCGCCGGCCCGCTGCTCCTCCGGGGGGGCGCCGGGCACGCGGGCTGGGCCCAGTGGCCAAGCTGGACCCACGGGGGTGCCCGGGGTGCCCTGGCGCGGCCCGTTACCCGAAACGCTTTCTGGGTCCCTGCGGGCGGGATAGATAGTGAGCTTCCCGTCTTTGGAGGTGTGCAAGGGCAGCCTGCGCCGGGGCGCTCAGGCTGGTGAGGCGGGACTCTGCGCTAGACGCACGCCCCCTCCCAGCTTGGGGACGTGCTCCTCGGCGCCCCAGACAAGGCTAACCGGGTGTGTGCTGGGGGAGGTCCCAGCGGGAGTGGTTACAGGGCCGTCTCTTCATTGCAGGGACAAAGCACAGCAGGTCTCAGGCTGGTGTCAGCCTCCAGGTGTGTGGCCTCAGTGAGCTCACCTCCAGGTGTGCAGTGGGCTGGAGGATTAAGGAGGAGCTGGGGAGGGCAGGGTGCTGGGGGACATGGGGTCTGAGCCTGGAAGAGGCGCCACCCCCTGGGCACCTGTGAGCGGCAAGTTTGGGAGGCTTGGAGCCAGGACATGCTTGCGCGGCGGAGTGTAGCTCCAATGCGTGTGTGAGGGTGAGGCCAGGGTGAGAAAGGAGGGGGCGGAGAGCGCTAGTGAGACCCTCTGAGAGCAAGGGGGTGGGGAGAGAAAGGGGAGGGGAAGACTGTGTGATCTGGAGAGAAGAGAGTTGGTGTGAGAGAGCAGCAGAGTGAAGAGAGGAGGGATGTCACCGGGTGTGTGTGGACAGCCTGCATGTGCCCGCAAGGCTGCACCCTCCCCTGAGCTGGGGCTTTGAGGAACAAGTTACAGGGCACCAGGCAGAGCCCGGGCAACTGCACGCCCACAGGCTCCTGGGCGCCCGGACCCCTCGGACCCACCCCGCTGGGCCGCTGAGGCGAGCAGCCAGCTCAGGCAGGGATGGGCGTGTGAAGGGGGGTAGAGGCAGGAGTCGGGGGAGTGGTCCGCAAGGAGGGAGGTCTAACCAGGCTGGGCCCTTCTGTCCACCCGTGCCAGCTGTGCCCTGGCCTGTCTTGCCCTGCGCTTGCTATGGGAACAGGAGGGGACAGGATGGGGGAGTAGGGTGGGGGGGTGGGCACCTCCCCGCAGGCCCTGCCTCTTGCCCAGCCCCTCCTGGTCCCCTAGACCTTGGGGCAGAGTCAGGAATCCCCCTGGGTAGCTCTGGAACCCACAGGGGCGGGGGTTGGAGGGACCTACGTCTTCCCTGTGTGCCCCTTGGTGAGCCCTCTTGTGCCTCAGACCCTCACCCTCTCGTTGTGTCAGGTGGGCGGGAGAGAACGGCACCCAGGGCTGGGCTGAGGACTGAGTGCGAGGGTGTGAGGACAGGGCTCAGCAGGCACCCGGGAGACATTCCGCCACCTGGAGCTGCCCCTTTGACACTTGTACAGGGTCAGCTGGGGCCAGATCTGAGCCAGGCTGTTGTCTGTCACTCTGCAGTTATGCAGGGAGCATTTAGGGTCGCCTCCGCCATGTTTATCCCCAGGCTGCCTCCGTCAGGGCCAGGAATGCTCTGTAAATATTTATCCATCCCCGTTTGCAGCTTTCATGGTTGATGAAACCCCAAGCCCAGTGGGACAGATACTGTCTTCCCTCCTGGAGCCACCGGGGGAGGGGAGGGAAGGGGAAGATGGACCTGCCTAGCAACTGGCTGTGTGACTTGGGCAGCTTGCTTGACCTCTCTGAGCCTCAGAGGGGCTTGATGCTGCATAGAACGGCATGGTAATGCTCCCCTGTCTTCCTCACAGCCTAACCAAGTGCCCTCCCATCAGAGTCACCTCTGCTATGTCACCTCGCTATGGTCAGTTATCCCTGTTGGACCAACAGCAAACTGAAGTCCAGAGAGGGACACAACTAGCCTGGCCTTTACCCAGTGGTCCTCTAGTCTGGGGTCCTCCTTTATCTCCCCTCTACTGGGTGCCTCCCATTTTCTTGATTGGAAGGTGGTCCAGGGGCTGACTGCGAGCCTCTAGCTCAGCTGGGAGGCTGAGTCGGCCAAGAAATTCCTCGAGTATGTTTGAGGCTGTGGTTTGGTGCCTGCCCACCTCAGGGCAGGTCAAGGGAGGCTACTGGCCAAGGAGGAGGAGGGAATGCTCTGGAAGAAACACTTCTCAGGAATGTGGGTTTTGGAGCTAGGCCGAGAGCTAAAGTGGGGGGAGAGCTGTGGGTCAAGAGGAGGTCTATGCCCAGCTCTTGCCTGACTTGCTGTGTGACCCTGGGCAAAGTCCTTGACCTCTCTGGGCTCTGTTTCTTCCTCTGGGAAATGCCTGCTCCCTGACCCTGGAGGGCTGTAGGTGAGGTCATGAGCACCACCCCACCTCACTGAATCCCAGCAGCCATGAGAGGACCAGCGCACCCATCTTAGGAATCAGCCAGCTGCTCCGTGCCAGGCCTGCAGCTAGGGCATCTGGCTCCAGGCCAGAAAGGACTCGGGAAGATGAAGTGTGGGAGGTCAGTAGGGCAGAAAGCATGTGTTCCATCCTGGTAATGGGGAAACTGAGGCTAAGAGCCATAAATGATGGGCACCCAGAAAAAAGATCCCACTGGCTGGAGGCCTCAGTTGTAGCGCCTCCTGCTAACTGTTTCTCCAAGACCACTGGACATGACATGGGTGGGGAGCAGGAGGCCGCTGGCCTGCGAGGAGACCCTGCATAAGCCGTTCGTCTTCTCTGGACCTGAAAGCTCCCTCTAGCTGTGACTCCTGTTTTGAAGGAGGTCATTTAGCCCTTTGCCATGGCGCCATCCCCATTTGACAGATGGGAAAGTTGAGGCTAAGAGAGGGCAGTGACTTGCCCAGGGTCACTCGATCCAGGGTCTCCGTGGCATAGAACCAGGCCTCTGAATGTCAGCCCAGGCTCTTTCTGCTGCACTGAGTGTCCCATGACCCAGGACTCTGGGTGTGGACTTGGTGCCCTGTGGGGGCAGGAGAGGAAGGGGTGGTGTGTGAGTCCATTACTCACCCTCCCTCCATGGCTGGCCGCTCCAGGCCTCACTGTGGGGCAGGGGAAGGAGAGATTTCTGCCCATGGGCATAAACAGAGCTGGTAGGCTGGACCCAGGGCTGTTTGGGGCTCCCAGGAGACAACACAGCCCTGTCCTTCCCAGGGAGGGTCCTCGAACCCTTGCCAGGGTTGAGGAAGGAATCCTTTTATCCCGGAGGTTAGAGAGCAGTGTCGGGAGGGGCTGGGGAAGGCCCTGGTGGCTCATCACACAGACCTGGGGTCACCTCCTCAGTGTGAGCCCCTGCATATGTGAGGGCCCCACTTTGTGGGGGTGGGGTGGGGGTTCCACGAGCCCACCTGCAAAGTGCCTGGGAAGTAGGAGGTGCTCAGTAATTTCCCATTCCTTCTCTGTTGTCACCAAGGCGAGGCCCGCCGGGGTCCCTCCTCAGAGGTTTCAGGTAGGGGGTGGGCTGTGAGCACGACAGCCTGCCACCTGCGAGGTGTTCCCTGGGCAAGTTCCTTAACTTCTCCAGGCTCTGTTTCGTCTTCTGAGAAGTGGGTGGGATGAAGGTGGAGTTGGTGAGAGGTCCCATCCCGGGACTAAGAGCCTGTCTGTGGAGCTGATGGCTCCGCCACACTTATCAGCAGTGAGGCCAGGATCCGCTCGAACCCACAACCCAGTGCGGCTGGGCTCTGCCAGCTAACCAGCCGTTCAGTGAGCAGGCTCTGAGACTGGGAGAAAACTGCTAGGGCCTCACACCCCAGGTAGCTCCACAGCCCCCAGGGGTTCAGGAGCTCCACGTGTTCGGAAGACCCCTTCCTAGTGGGGGGCTCTGGAGGGTTGAGTTCTTGGTGGCTCTGGAATCAGGAGCTTGGGGGGCTGGGACACTGATCAGAACCCTGGGGCGCCTAGGTCCTGGGAGAGCCGCCAGAGGCCGAGGGTGGGGCCTGGGTGGCCCGGCTCCTGCCCCAAATATGGCTGTGGGGAGGCCACAGCCACCCAGGCCAGACAGGCCCAGACCAGACAGGCGCTGAGTCTCTCGGCAACAGCACCGCTCCGTGCCTCTCCTCCTGCTTTGCACGGTATCCCAAGCCAGGCCTTCGCCTCCGGCCTGGGGTGCCAGAGTCCTCACCTGGCCTCGCCATTCCCTTGCTAGGCGACCTCACGGGTCTCCCAACTTCTCTGAGCTTCTGCTTTTTTCATGCATGAGCACTGAGACCTCCACCCTGGGACTTGCAGAGATTGGGGATCTAAGTCAGAGTCACTGCTTGTGTCCTGGGGCTCCTGCAGGGTGGGGCTGGGCGTCTGGTAACTGTCTACTCCCCCCACCCACACACACCCACACATGGAGGGGGCGGGCAGACCTCATCTAGCCCTGCCGTGCACCCAGCTCTTGTGGGGTACGAGCGAAACTGCCCCCCAGAAATGAGTCCTGAGTTCCAGGTCCTTACTGGGGGCACGGCTGTGCTCAGGGCTTTACACTGTTGCCCTGCTTGCCCTCGGATCAGCACTGTGGGAGGTGTCATCCCCATTTGTCAGGTGAGCAAGTCCAGGCAGGGCTGCAGGGTTGCCGCCCCTCCACGCTAGGAAGTGGTGGTAGTGGTGGGTGTCGCGGGCAGGAGCCAGCTCCTGTAACTAGAGGGGTCTGGGGCAGGGACTGGGAAGAAAGGGAGGTGGAAAGGTGTTTGCTGGGGGCGTGTGGGGGGAGCAGGAGGAGCTTGCCTGGCTTTTCCTCAGCAGCGTTGTGGGGTCCATTCCTGGGTGTGTGTGGAGAGGACAGCCCGAGGCCCTCGGGGAGGGGGCGGGAGGCAGCAGGAGGCCTGGGAACCAGTCATCAGGAATCAGTCAGCCGTGCCCAAGGGCCCTGCCTGGGAGGTGGGAACGCCCTTCACTTACCCAGCGAGCCAGTGGGCTGGGGCTGAGCATGGGTGTGTTGATAGCCTACGCCCCTGGCCACAGCCACCAGTGCCGCGCCTGACCAGGCCTCACATCTTCTCTCCTGCCCAGGGCGCCCACCGCCGCCACCCACTGAGGAGGGGGCTGCAGCCCTGGCATGAAGCTCCTCCCAGCAGCCTGGCGCCTGGCCCTGCAGCCCAGGAGGTGACCCGGCCGCCTGGCGGCCCCAGCCCTCCCCGCTGTGGTGTGCCTGACCCGCCTGACGGGCCAAGTGCCCGCAACCGACAAAAGCGCTTCGTGCTGTCGGGAGGGCGCTGGGAGAAGACAGAGCTCACCTACAGGTAGGGCGAGCGCCCCGAGCGGCTCTCCATCGCTCCGGTGTCCGCGGTGCGCTGGCCGCCCTCACCCCTGCCGCCTGAGACTCACATTGGAAAGATCTCCATGGTTAACACAGCTGTGTGTCTGCAGACCCCCAAGCCTTTCAGGGACCAACACCTCAGAACCTCAACTTAGATGCACACACAGCTGATACCCCCATACCTGTGCCCTCCCACAGCAGGGGGCCGTGCCTCTGCCAGCACGTGGAGTCTCCGCACACGTCTTGTGCCCCATAGACGTGCTGGGCATGGCCTTCAGCCACCCAGGCAGCCTCTATGGGGACCTGAGGGTCAGGCTGTGGGTTCCATGGCGAATGAGGCAGACACGGCCCGTCCTCTCAGGGTGCTAGGGCACTAGGCACATCACTGTCCAGATCTACTGGGACAGCTCGGGCTCTGTGCAGGGGGAAGCCGTGATGAGAGGCCCTGGGAGGGATGCAGATGCTGGGGCTTACACATCCTGCAGGCAGGCTCTCGGCCTGGGAGAGGAGGCACGTGAAGACAGGGCATTAAAACTGAGACTGCTGGGGTCTCAGAAATGTCCTGGGTGGGGAACTGGGAACCCAGAGGGGGCAGGTCAAGGGGCTAAGGTCTCCCCACAGTGAGTGGTACAGTCAGGTCTAGAAGGCGGGTCTTGGGGCTCTTGGTCCTGTGTCCTTTCCGCCGAATGCAGACACCTGTGTGCACCTAAGGACACACAAACCACCCAAAGATGTGCCCATGTGGCAGAGGGCCCATGCACCCTACCTGAGGCCCAGAGCACACCTGGCCCATGTCTGGTGTGCGTGCACTCCCACTGAGCATCCAGGGGCCACTCCTGGCCATCAGGGGCGGACCTTGTCCTGAGCGAGGCCCAGGCCCTTCCTCCTCCCCCAGGATCCTCCGGTTCCCATGGCAGCTGGTGCGGGAGCAGGTGCGGCAGACGGTGGCAGAGGCCCTACAGGTGTGGAGCGAGGTGACGCCACTCACCTTCACTGAAGTGCACGAGGGCCATGCTGACATCACGATCGACTTCACCAGGTGAACTGGTTGCCTGGGACCCTTTGGGAATAAGCCCCACCTGTCAGCAGCCACTGACTCTGCCCCACCCACCCCAGGTACTGGCATGGGGACAATCTGCCATTTGATGGACCTGGGGGCATCCTGGCCCATGCCTTCTTCCCCAAGACCCACCGAGAAGGGGATGTCCACTTTGACTATGATGAGACCTGGACTATTGGGGACAACCAGGGTATGAGCTGGGGACCCATGTTCCAGATAGGACAACTGAAGAGCATAGAGAATGGGGACTTGCCAGGTCCCTGAGCTGGGGTCTGGAGCCCGGGGTCTTGCTGCAGGAGGTTTGGGGATTGCTGGGCTATTTCCCCTTTCCAGGAACAGACCTCCTGCAGGTGGCAGCCCACGAATTTGGCCACGTGCTTGGGCTGCAGCACACGACGGCTGCTAAGGCCCTTATGTCCCCTTTCTACACCTTCCGCTACCCGCTGAGCCTCAGCCCAGATGACCGCAGGGGCATCCAGCACCTATATGGCCGGCCTCGGCCAGCCCCCACCTCCAGGCCCCCGGCCCTGGGCCCCCAGGCTGGGGTGGACACCAACGAGATTGCACCACTGGAGGTGAGGCGCAGGAGGGTGGGAAGACCGGAGGTGAGGCCCTGCACCCAGCTCCACTGCTCCACTAGCCTCTGTGGCTCCAACGTGGGCTCTTTCCTGGCCCTTCTTTCCCACCCCAGCCGGAAGCCCCACCAGATGCATGCGACGTCTCCTTTGACGCGGTCTCCACCATCCGTGGCGAGCTCTTCTTCTTCAAGGCAGGCTTTGTGTGGCGGCTGCGTGGGGGCCGGCTGCAGCCTGGCTACCCTGCACTGGCCTCTCGCCACTGGCAGGGACTGCCCAGCCCTGTGGATGCAGCCTTCGAGGATGCTCAGGGCCACATCTGGTTCTTCCAAGGTGAGTGGGGGCTGGGTGTCACACCCAGGAGACTTCTGGGAGCCAGGAATGTTATGGCCAAGGGGAGGGACAGACAGACATGATGGGCAGACGGAGGGTGCCCTGAAGCCTTGGGGCCAAGGGAGAGCATGGCTCACTGCTCTGGGCACAGCTGGGAGGCTCCCGGAGGCGGTGGTTCTTGAGTTGGGAGCAGGCTAGACGGTATTGCACAGGGGTCTGTGGATTGGCGCAGTCAGCCCGTGAGCCACCCACTGGAGCAGGAGTGATTATGACCCCTGGTCAGAGATGGAGGTCTGGGGCTCAGGTAGGGAAGTGACTCACCTGAGGGCACAGCTTGGAAAAGGCAGAACTAGGATGTGGCCTAGAGCCTGTTCTGTTAACTTTCAGCTGTCAGACGAGAGCCTGGAGCATTCGAGGTGGCAGGGACTTCATAAACAAAGGCCCCGCTGGGGTGCTCAGCAAGCACTTGTCATGGGCAGCCACATGCCAGGGGAAGGAGCGGGAGGCCAGGCGGCCTCTCTGCTGCTTAGACTACCCTTTTCCACGGGGCACCTCTCAGCGCCTGCGCCTGTCCTGCTGGCTCCAGCTTCCATCTGGGGGTGCTGAGCAGGCGTTCCTGGCCTCTGTTTTACAGACAGGGAACGGAGGCTGGGAGAGTCTGTGGCGGTGGTGGCGGCTGGGCAGGCCTGTGGTGGCTGGCCATGGCAGTTGCGCAGCTCCGTTGCAGCCTCCCCCCTCTGGCAGGTGCTCAGTACTGGGTGTACGACGGCGAGAAGCCAGTCCTGGGTCCCGCACCCCTCTCGGAGCTGGGCCTGCTGGGGGCCCCAGTCCACGCCGCCTTGGTCTGGGGCCCCGAGAAGAACAAGATCTACTTCTTCTGTGGCGGAGACTACTGGCGCTTCCACCCCAGCACGCGCCGTGTGGACAGTCCCGTGCCCCGCCGGGTCACTGACTGGCGAGGGGTGCCGTCTGAGATCGATGCCGCCTTCCAGGATGCTGACGGTGTGTGGAGGGTGGCTTGGCTGGCGGCAGTGGTGCAGCAGCCGCATCTCCCTCTGGTGGTGGCTAGGCATCAGCTCCTCACCCCAGGTGCTTTGTCCAGTGCCTTCCCCGAGCCCCGCCAGGGCAGTGCCATATCCCCATGTTGCAGATGAGGACATCAGGGCCAGAGAGGTGCAAGGACTTGCCCAGGGCCTCGGCCATAGCTGGTAAACTGATAACCGCCGCACACTGAGGACCCCAGACGCAGTGCCAAGCTCCTTACACGTCTCAGGCAATTTTCAGATGTAGCACTTCTTACAAATCCAGTTTCCACAGGAGCAGAGGTTCAGGCAATGAGTCCCTCACCAGGGCCATCCAGGTGGATGGTGGGGAGCCAGGCCCCCAACCTAGGCAGGCCCTGCTCCTAACCACTGAACCTCCTGGCCTCCTGTTATCTCAAAGGACTAGACTGGGGTCTCACAGTCCAGTGCTCTCTCCTGTCCCCCATCCCTGCTTTGTTTCTGTGCTCTCCCACATCAGAGCCCACTGGGAGAGCTGTCCTGTGGTGGCCTCAGGCTCTGAAGCTCCAGGTTGCCCTTATCATCCACCTTGACTTAAGAGGCCCATCTGTGGCTGGTGGGTGCAGGAGTAGAGTGACTTGGAGGAGAGGTGGTGAGGAGAGCAGGACTTGCTTTCCCGAGAGGTAGGAGCGGGGCCTCTGAGGCTGCCAGCATCTGTCAGGCTGGGTGGTAGCTCAGACGACTCTGGGGCAGGTAGACAGGGCTCCCTGAGGGAAGGGAGGTTCTAGAAGGGCCGGCCTGGGGCCTGCACTTTTCAAGGAACTTAGCAGTGGCCAAGGCCTGCCTACCTGGTTCTCCCCCTGTGCCCGTCCCTGGGCACAGCCTGAGGGGAGGTGCGGGGCCCAGTGTGCAGTCGCCCAGGCCTGACTCTCCTCTCTCCTCAGGCTACGCCTACTTCCTGCGTGGCCGCCTCTACTGGAAGTTTGACCCTGTGAAGGTGAAGGCCCTGGAGGGCTTCCCTCGCCTTGTGGGACCCGACTTCTTCGGCTGTACAGAAGCTGCCAACACTTTCCGCTAACCAGCTGGGATGCCCTCAGGGCCCCTGACCCCTGCCAGGCCACTGACATCGGCTAGATACCTGTGGCCATCTTTGTGCCCGTGGGCCCCAGGCACGGGACAGAGCCCATGTCTCCTCAGGGGGCTGAGGAGGGGTGCTGCCACCATGACAACTGCAGGGGGGCCATGCGGGTCGTGGTCACCTGCCAGCGACTGTCTCATACTGGGAAGGAGGCTCTGGCGTTAATTAAGGCTGAGGGTGGTTCAGGTCAGCTCCACCCCACCTCATGCGGGTCATGGTCAAACCCAGCCACCCTCAATCTTCATCCCTGTCCCTCAGGGTAGGACCTCAGCAGGGCTGGGGGAGCTGGAGCCCTCACTGGTTGGTGATTCTGGAGATCTGTTCCCCAGGTTCCAGGCCAAAAGGTCCACAACCAGCTGGGGAGTGAGGGTGCTTCCTGCTGGAGCCCCCAAGCCCTGGAGGCCCCAGCATACCTCAAACCTCATCCCAGCACTGGGACCCTCCAGAACCATGTAAATGTGTGTATAGTGTGTACAAAGTCTTTTTTTAAAAAACTAAGGACTGTTATTAAACACGGTCATTTTCTATCTGCTTGCCTGGGGTCTCTCTGTGACATTGAGGCCAGGATGGGGAAAGGGATGGGCCAGGCAGGTGGGAGGCCTGGCTTGGGACCTACTCTGTCCTGGGAGCCAGGGTCACAGCCCACCCCACCCCCAAGCCTCTGGTCCTTGGGGCTGGACACAATGCTTGGGGCTCCTCCCGCTCCATTCCTCCATCACGTCTCACCGGATGCCTGTAGTGGCTTTGAAATTGGCTGCCCACTTCCCCACTTGCCCCTCAGATCCTCCTCCACTAAGTGGTCATTTCATCCTATCACACCTCATCCCAGCCACCATCCTGAAATACCGTTGCCCACGGCTGTTGGGACACAGAGCAAAACTCATGGTTGCCACGGCCAACCCTTCCTAACTCTGGAGTGTCTCCTTGCGCGCCGCCCAGCCCAGCATGTATCTTCTTCACAGTGGCACCTCTCACAGCTGCAATTCTATTAGACTGGAACCATATGAACTTGTCAGCAGGGGGCGGTTTCTGACCTGCTGCCCTGCTCACCTGGATACATGGATCACGGTGCTCTGATGCTTTGTTAGCATGGGTCACCGCTCCAGGCTCTAAGCGCCTGGGGCAGGGCTGGCCAGTGTCACCGCACAGCTGGGTTGTAGGCACAAAGCACAGTTAGGGCAGGAATGAAGTTCCCTCCCCTCCAGCACTCATCTGGTGCACCAGCCAGACCAAATACTACCTGGGCCTTGGAATCCTGCCAAGCCCACGCAGTGTCATCATCCCGCCCATCCCCACAGCCGCAGGAACAGCTGTGAGCTCGGAACTGCGGTATCGGTTCGGCTCCTAGGAGCCCTCTCATCTACTCAGCTGCACTGCCTTCCTGGGTGGGGAAACTGAGGCAAGGATGGCTCGGGCCTGCCGGGGCCTTCAGGCCTCATTTCATTCCTCTTCCACTGGGCTGACTGCCAGTCCCAGCTGTGAGCCTGCGAAAGCCACCGCCTGAGTCAGGGCCTCGGTTACTATTCCTGTCCGTGAGAAGTTTTCCTCGGTACCTCCACTTGGGAGGCTGCCTGAGAAGAGATACGGGTCCTGGCTCCTTTAAGGGGCCCGCGGGCGCGCGCCCCGGTCTTTTGTTTGGGCTGCGGCGGCGCGCGCGTCAGCGTCAACGCCCGCGCGTGCGCACTGAGGGCGGCCTGTTCGTCGTCGGTGTCTGAAGCTGAGGAGCTCGGCGGCGGCGCGAGCCCCCGGCCTGGCCTGTCCTTTGCCTCCCGGCGTCCGCTCCCCTCGGCTCGGGGCGCCCTCTCGATCTCGCAGCCCGGCCTCGGCCCCCTGCCTCGCCGCCGCAATGATGATGATGGCGCTGAGCAAGACCTTCGGGCAGAAGCCCGTCAAGTTCCAGCTGGAGGACGACGGCGAGTTCTACATGATCGGCTCTGAGGTAGCCGCGGCGCCTCCTCGCGCTTCTCGGCCCCAGGCCGGCGGGAGCCTCGGGGCGGGCCTGCGCGCCGGGAACGCGCGTCTCCATTCATCGCGGCGGGAGGGCGCGCGCACGCGGACGCTGGGGGCGTGGCCTGGCGGGGGCGTGGTCGGCGGGCCCCGCCCCGCGCCCTCGGCGCTCGTGGTTTGCTTACCCCTGTCGCGGGGGTGGGGATACGCCCCGCTGCCGGGACCCGGGCTCCCCGGGGGCGGTGGTTCCCGCTGAGTTGGTACAGCTCGGGTTAGCCCCTGGGCGCTTCTGGGGGGCATGTTGGGAATCTCACACGCGCCCCTCCTCCATTGCTACCTCTGGGACCCTGAAATCGCGGGCTGGGAACGTAGGCTTAGTGAGGGCTCCTCTCACGTGTTATTGCCTTTGAGGTGGATTTTGAGGAAAGTGTTCTGACCTTTCTTTAGCGGTGAGGAAACAGGTCGGGAGGAGGATGCTTGCTTTTGGTTTGATAAGGCCCCAGGCCGTGAGGCAGCTCTATCAGCAATTCCGGAGCAGTTGCCACTTTGGATATCTTGAACTTAGAATTACTAGGAGGGAAAGATCCTGAAGATCTTTAAACTTTAACTGGAAGTCACAGCACTTGGTTGAATCAGCTGAACGACTGGCTTTAGGAACACCGTACAACTCGTCCTTCACTGGGAGTTTGTACTCAGTATATTAAGTTTTTCCAGATTGCCTCAAACTAGCCCTTTCTGGTCTAAGGGGAGCCCTCAGATAGTGCATATTCTTTAAGAAAAAAAAACGTGCCAGTACAATTCAGATGTGTGTGTCTCGCGTGAGGAGAAGAGTGGATCCTGGAGAGCTACAGCAGGTACAGCCTGCCAGGGCGCCTCTCCCTGTGGCAGTTGTCAGTATCAGACACCAGCATCTAATTACTGTTTTTACAGTTCCTGGTTCTTTCTTCACAGTCGAACATAATGTGAGTGAATTAAGCCCTGTGATGGTCACACTGAGCTGTGCTGGGTCCTGTGCTGGGGCAATGGAGCCAGTGCCTGTCCATCGCCATAGCTCAGATGGTCCTCACTGGCTGGTGGGCACCTGCCTAAATGCAGGATAGGAGTGTCAGTTTGTGATATTGGGCAGCTTGTTTAAAGAAACCTTTACCTGATCTAGTGGGCAGGAAGAGCAGCCAGATTGGCCTTGACTCAGTGGGAGGCACTTTTGAAAAGTAAGCTTTCATTGATTAGGCAGAGCAAATGGAGAAGCAGCCCGTGGCCATATGGGAAGGACGTTGGGAGGCCTGCTTCCAGCCTGCTTTGCGTTCGAGTCATTTGTTCACGTGTATAATGAGATGTTTAGATTGAATGGTCTCTAAGATCTTCCCTATAACACATTTTAGTTTCTAGAAAGCTAACTACAGTCTTCTCTTTCAGCCCTCCTGAGGAGAACAGTTGTCCTGAGCCCCAGTCTGTAGAGATCCAGAGGAGAGAGGGGAGAGGTGGTTTGCTCTCTCAGGCCTGGCTTAACAAACGTCAGACGTTTGGAGGTCTGGGAAGGGTTCAGGATCAGAGTGCTGTCTGTGTTATCCAGGAGCTCCTGTGACAGCATTGGGTGTGTGGCCACCAGGCCCCTTCCCCTTGGAAAACAAGCACCGTATTCAGAGAGGTGGGCCGGCAGTAGCAACACACTCAGCGCCCCCGTGCCACATCTGCACAGTGGCCTTGGGAGGGTGTCTGCAGTCATGGGGAATGTGTGTCACTCTTCTCTGCCATCTGCAGGCAGCTATATTCCCCAAGCCAGAGTCACAGAGGTGAGAGAACGTGAAGAAATGCCCGGGTCCACCCCTTCATTCTACATTTGGGAAACCTGAGTCCAGAGAGGGCCAAGGCTGGTTCTGGGAAAACCCAGGAAGGCAAGCCCCGGTCTCCTAAGTTCCAAAGGATTCTAGGGAAGGGCCTAGGAGCCCTGGAGCCCTGTGGGACCTACAAGGTAGTAGTGGGGGCGATATTGTCAGTGTCTTTGCGGAAACCTAAGAGAAACGATACATTTGCTTTTGGATGGTAATGACACTCAAGCCAAATAATGTGCAGGTGTCTGTGCCTGTTGTGTGGAGCACGAGTCACTGGCTGTGGCCACCTTTTGTCACACTGTTCAGCAGTTCTGGTTGCCAATATAAATCTTGGATTCATGAAAAATGGAGAAATATTTTTATTTAATAAATATACTATGCTGACTAGGTAAATGGGAAGATAACAGAAGTGGTCCTTCGTGGGGTGAAGTTCGGAGTTGCTGAACATTTGACAGATGAGTAAGGAGACCCAGAAAAGGAAAGTGATTTGCAGTCACAGGTGGAGCCAGCACCTGGCACCCAGTCCGCTGGCTGTCCCTGCCATGCGACTTAAGTGGGCATTTTAAAAAAGTCTGTGAAACAATGGGATTTCTTTATAAAAACTTTAGGATTAGATTTCTTTTCATTAAGGAAGTCATACTTTATTTGGTGCAAGCAAACTGAAGCTGTTGTTTGGGCCAGTAGTGATTTATGTAGCAAGCTGGTGATTGCTGATAATGCTTTTTAAACTCTGGAAAATTCCTTTGGTATCCCTGGTTTGAGTTTTGTTACTAAACAAAGCAACAGGGGCCATGGGGGAAATTATTCTGCATCTGTTTAAAATTAAAAGACCTTTCTGGTGTTTATTACATTGTAAAAATATCAAAGTCTTGTTCTTAAGAAAAAAGAAAGTCAAGGAGGCCTTACATTTCTAGAAAGTGCCAGAAATCACAGTGCCAAAATCAAAATCCTGGGGAGCTTCTCGGTGAGCTCTGGGGGCTTCTTGGTCAGCCCTGGGGGCCTGCCTCCTGAGCGTCTTGTCGTGTAATCAGGATGTGGATGTTATTAGCCCTGCCTGGAGGGGCAGATGCGGGCCAGATGTGCACTGCTCTTGAACTCTTGATGTCAGCAGAATGTGTTTTTATCGCTGTCTGTGAAAGCCTGGCGCCTGGGGGCCAACTCGAGGCTTGTTTTTCCATCACTTGATCTGGCAGACCTCTGCACCAGGACCCTCCCCTTCCGCCTTGAGATGTGACCCTCATAATGAGCCTTCTTGCTTTACTCATAGGTGGGAAACTACCTCCGTATGTTCCGAGGTTCTCTGTACAAGAGATACCCCTCACTCTGGAGGCGACTAGCCACTGTGGAGGAGAGGAAGAAAATAGTTGCATCGTCACATGGTAAAAAAACAAAACCTAACACTAAGGGTGCGTCTCACGAGGGTTTGTAAACCTGTTTCAAAACCACTCGCTTATGTCATGAAGATAAAACGTTTTCACTCCAGAGTGTCTTCACTGCAGCCCTGACCTTAGGGAGGCAGAGAGCATCCTGGGGGCGGGCTGGCCCCGGAGCATGCGTGCAGCGAGAGAGAAATCGGCCCCAGGGAGCCTTTGACAATATGTTTGTCATGTGTTTTCAGTGGGGACAGTTGGGTGGCGGGGACGGAGCTGTGACAGTAGCAGGTGCTGTGAAGACATGTTGGTCTCAAAACGTTTTAGGAATGCTGTGATGCTCTGCCATCTGCCGTGGGCGTGTCGCCGTAGTCACCC